TGATTCTGTTACAGATGGATCCAGGACCCCGCTGTTTGGAAAAAAAGCTTGTCCTTAGGGATACTTACTTTTATTTACTTTATTTTTTGCCATCTCTTCCTGCTAGTTTGTATATCAGTTTTTTAATACAAAGAGACGGAGTGGTCACTAGATGCCCAGGCTGGGGTCCCGACCTCCTGGGCTCCCAGAGGATTCCTCCTGCGCTGGAGGCCTTCCAAGTGCTGGGATTACAGGCATAGCCATCCACTCCTGCGGGAAATTACTATTATAAAACAGATCTATTTGTAGAGATGTTCTGCACAAAACTACTTAATAGAGAAAAAAAAAAAAAAGAATCAAAAAAAAGAAAGAATAGTGACAAGTCCTCAAACACCACTGTGGATCATAATTAAATACTTTGGTTTTAAAAAAAATTGTTATTTTGTTTTGAGATGGAGGTCTCTGTTTGCCCAAGCTGAATGCAGTGGTTGCCATTCTTGGCTTCATTGCAACCTCTGCCTTCCTGGGTTCAGGCGAATTCTCCTGCCTCAGGCTTCCCCGGTAGCGGACAATGGGGCAGGCGCACCGTGGTGACCGGCTAAATTTTGGGCTATGTTTAGTGAGAGACGGGGTTTGCCATTATTGGCCAGACTGGGTCATTGACTCTGAGCCCAAGTGATCTGCCCCTCAGCCTCTAGCTAACTTTCTTGTACGGCGTATTAGCTAACTAACTTTATCGTTTCCTTTCTTAATAATATTATGGTTGCGCAGAATGCCCCTTTGGATATACGTGCTGAACTATTTGGGAGTGAAGCACCATGATTTGATAACTGACTTTTAAATATTTCAGCAAAAAAATATATATAAATTTTTCAGGTAGTTGGAGAGAGAGACAAAGCAAATGGAAAAACGGGAACAATGGATTAATCTAGGCGAAGAGTATAAACATGTTCGTTATTCTTTCATCTTTTCTGTAGGTTGGAAGTTTTTCAAAGCCAGTTGGGGGAGAAAGTACAGGAATAAAGAAAGATGCTCGCCGAACATGGATAATCTGGCGGAAGGTATAATCATGTTCGTTATCTTTCATCTTTCTGTTAGGTTGGAAGTTTTCAAAGCAGTTGGGGGAGAAACGACCAGGAATAAGAAAGACTGCTCGGCCAGGCGTGGGATGCTCCTGCCTGTTCTCCCAGCACCCTGGGAGGCTGAGGTGGGCGGATCACCTGAGGTCAGGTTCGAGACCCAGCCTGATAACATGGAGAAACCCTGTGCTCTAGTAAAATTTTCAAAATTAGCCAGGTGTGGTGGTGCTGCCTGTAATCCCAACTACTCAAGGAGGCTGAGGCAGGAGATTGCTTGAAGCCGGGGCGAGGGTTGCGGTTAAGCCGAGATCACACTATTGCACTCCAGCCTGGGCAACAGAGTGATAACTCCGTCTCAAAAACAAAAAGTGGCTCATGCTGCATCCAGCACTTCTGGGGAGGCCGAGGGCAGGAATTACCTGAGGTCAGCGTGCGCAGTTAGACCAGCTGGCCAACATGTGAACCCCGTCTCTACTAAAAATAGAAAAATTAGCCAGGCCGGGTGGTGGGCGCCTGTTCTCACGTCTTTGGGAGACTGGAGGTAGGAGAATTTCTGTTGACCCCGAAGTCAGAGGCTGCAGTGAGCCAACGACGTCGCCACTGCACCCCCGCCTGGGCAACAGAGCGAGACTCTGTCTCAAAAAAAAAAAAGTCTCCCAGCGTCGGCTCCATCACGAGATGGGGTCTCCACACATCACCACTGATTGCCAGCAGAGCGCCTGGAAATTCTAGGGCTTGCAAGGAAAGAGCTGGTACTAGAGGCTGCGCTTCAGAGCCTTCCCAATTGTGGCTGGATTCTGAGAGACTCACTGTCGTGTTGATTTCAGGCCACAAAGGGTGGATAAATTCCAGTTTGTCTGGTACTGAGAAAAATAGGCCCTATATCCTTAGACGCAGTCCCCGTAGGTGCCTCCA